CCTGTATTGCAGGGGTAGGGCATTACACACTTAATGCAGGAGCACTTTGTTGAGAGCAAAGTGCATGACTCTCAAAACTGGCCATTCGTAACATTTTCTTTGTCCCATATCTGCAGTACTATGCTTGTCTGGCAGCACCAGAGCCAACAGTGGGGGAAGGATAGCTCAGTGGTTTGAGCATTGGACTGCTAAACCCAGGGTGGTGAGCTCAATCCTTGTGGAGGCCATTTGGAGCAAAAATTTGTCAGGGATGGTACTTGGTCCTGCTATGAAGGCAGGGGATTGGACTTGATGATCTTTCAAGGTCCCTTCTGGTTCTAGAAGATAGGCAATCTCTACTAATTTTTTATTCATAAGCACTGAGCCTACCTTTTTTACATGAATTAGTCTTTAACAAGAAAAGAGGTTACAAATATTTGCTCTAAAGGCACATTTACTATGTTAATACATCTAGGCTACATCTAGACTACACGCCTTTTTTGAAAGTATCTTTCAAAAAAACCTCTTTTGACAAAGAGCGTCTAGATTGCATTACGTGGATCAAAAAATCAATCCGCTTTTTCAAAAAAGAGCATCCAGACTATTGGATGCTCTTTCAAAAAAAAAAAGGCACCCGGAACCGCTTCTGGCAGAGCATGGGGGCAGCATTTACAGCCCGATGCTGGTCCATGCCCTTTGCAGAGGCACGTGCTTAAAAGATTCCCCAGGACAGCCGTTGTTCTGCTTCTGCTTCTGGCTTGCCTACCTCCTAGAGGGAAAGCAAAGCTACTACAGTGCTTGCTCTGGTTGCCCTGCTTTCTTGGACACCACAGCAATTTCTTTTCTGGCTGGTTTTCCTGCTTTTCATTGTGTTTTTGGCCATGGAGCCAGAGCTGGCCCTGGGCAGGCGATGGCCCCACGCTGCCATGCTGCAGCTTCATGACTTTGTCATGAAACTCCTGCCCCATATGGACCCGGACTAGAGCTATGAAACCTTTGTCCGGGATGCAGGAGCTATGCCCTTGCTTCCAAACTTTTTTGGGGACAGGCGGATTTGGAGGCATGAGACGAATTTGGACTGGTGGGGCTTGTCATGGAGCTCTGGGATGACGACCACTGGCTCCGCAACTTCCGGATGCGGAAGGCCATGTTCCAGGAGGTGTGTGCCTAGCTCACCCCTGCTCTGGAACACCAGGACACTCACCTGCAGCCTGCCATTCCCCTGCAGAAGCGGGTCGCAATCGCCCTGTGGAAGCTGGCGACCCCCGACAGCTACCTCTCCGTGAGACATCAGTTTGGCGTGGGGAGGTCTATCATCAGGGCCGTTTTGATGGAGGTAAGTCACTTTCGGGGGACAGGCCCTATTGA